ACTTTACTTAAAAAGTAACTTAAGTAACATTTTAATTTACGTACTGACTGAAGAAAAATAAGTAACTTAAGTTAAATAGTAACTTGAATAAAAATAGTAGTAACAAAGATAACATTAATAGTAACTCAAGTAGTATAACTGAAGTAAAATTAGTAGTAACTAAAGAAGTAACATGAGTAAAATCAGTAGAAACTAAAATAGTATCTGAAGTTAAGCACCAACTTTCTATAAACAGGAATTAAAATAAATTTAGTAGGAAATTAGGTAGTAACAGATGTAAAATTATTAACAACTGAAGTAAAATTAGTAGAAAATGCAGTAGTAACTGAGGTGAAACTAAGTAAATTATGTTAACTAGTAACAAAAGTAAAATTAGTAGGAAATTAAGCAGGAATTGTAGTAAAATTAGTAGTAACTTAAGCTAGGTAGTAACAGAGGTAAAATTATTAGTAACAACTGAAATAAAATCAGTAGGAAATGCAGTAGTAACTTAGGTAAAACTAGTAGTGAATAATTGATTTTTATTAATTTTTTAATTATTTTTACTAGTAGTAAAATATACGTAGTAACTAGTAGTAACTTAAACTAAGTAGTAACAGAGGTAAAATTGGTAGTAACTAAAGTGAAGTTTGTAGGAAATTCAGTAGTAACTAAGGTGAAACTAGTAGTAACTTAAGTTAATCAGTAACTCAAGTAAAATTAGTAGGAAATTAAGTAGTAAGTAAAAGAAAATTAGTAATAATGGAAGTGAAATTAGGAGTAATTTAAGTTAAACAGTGGCTAGAGTAAAATTAGTAGGAAATTAAGTAGTGTAACTAAATTAAAATAAGTAGTAACTAATGCTAAGTAGTGACAGAGGTCAAATAAGTAAGATCTGAAGTAAAATTAGTAGGAAATTCAGTAGTAACTAAGGTGAATCTAGTAGTAACAAAAGTGAAAGAAGTAGTAACTGAAGTAAAATTAGTGGTAACTTAAATGTCAATTAAAATAAAATTAATGGTAACTTAAATGTCGATTAAAATAAAATTAATGGTAACTTAAATGATAATTAAAATAAAATTATTAGTAACTTATATTCAGCAGTATCTAAAGTAAAATTTGTTAGAAATTAAGTAAAAGCTAATGTAAAATTAATAGTCACTTAAGTAAAATTAGTGGAGACTTAAATAACAATTAAAGTAAAATTAGTAGTAACTTAAGTTAAGCAGTAACTAAAATAAAATTGGTAGGAAATTAAGAAGTAATTGAAGTGAAATAAGTAGTAACTTAAGTCGTATCAAAATTAAAATTAGTAGGAAATTAAGAAGCAATTAAAGTGAAATAAGTATGTAGTAACTTAAGTAGTAAAAAAGTTAAAATTAGTAGTAAAGAAGTAATCGAAGCAAAATTAGTAGTAACTCACGATGAAATAAAAGTAAAATTAGTAGTAACTACGGTAAAATTAATACTATTTTAAGTAGTAACTGAAGTCAAGTTCTTAGTAACTTAAATTAAGTAGTAACGTATAGTTAGTAGTAACTTTGTTGGAATAATAACTTAAGTAATAACTTAAATAAGTTGGAACTTTGGAACAATTTACAGTAACTTAAGTTAAATAGTAACTTGAATAAAACTAGTAGTGACAGACGAACAATTTATGCGAACGTAAATAGTTAAATAATTACTGAAATAAATTTAGTAGTAACTTAAGTTAAATATTAACTAAAGTAAAATTAGTAGGATATTAAGAAGTAACGGAAGTGAAATGAGTAGTAACTTAAGTAAAATTATTAGCAATTTAATATAAGTAGTAACAAAGGTAAAATTAGTAGTAAATCAAGTACTAATTGAAGTAAAATTAGTAGTAAATCTAGCAGTAGTTGAAGTAAAATTAGTAGTAACTTAAGTAGTTGAGTTACTACTCAACACTCAAATTACTACTTAACAATCGAGTTATTTCTTGACATTAAAGTTACTACTTAATAAACAAGTTACTTCTTGACACTAAAGTTACTACTTAATAATCAAGTTACTTCTTGACACTAAAGTTACTATACTTAACAATCGAGTTACTTTTAAACACTAAAGTTGCTACTTAACAAGAAAATTATCAATTAACACTTAGGTTACTATTAACACTTAGGTTATTATTAACACTTAGGTTACTATTAACACTTGTGTTACTATTTAAGTTTTACATTTCCACTTAACACTCGAGTTACTATTTAATTTACCTAAACTCACTGCTTAACATTTGTGTTACTACTTAACACTTGGATGTAGTAATTGAATAAAAATTAATAGTAACTTAAGTAGTAACTAAAGTTAAATTAGTAGAAACTTATGTAAAATGTAAACTGAAGTTAAATTAGTTGCAACTTAAGTAGTAATTAAAGTAAAAGTAGTAGTAAGTAATGTTAGTAGGAACTTTAGGTAAGCAGTAACGAAAGGAAAATTAGTAGGAACTTAAGTAGTAACTGAAATGAAATAAGTGTCAACTAAAGTCAAATTAGTCGTAACAGAGGTAAAATTAGTAGTAACTGATGTAAAATTAGTAGGAAATTCAGTGGATTTAGTAGTAACTAGAGTAATAATTAAAGTAGAATTAGTAATAATTGATCTAGAAATTGAAGAATAATCAGGAGTAACTTAAGTTAAATAGTAACTAAAGTAAAAATAGTAGTAACAGAGGTTAAATTAGTAGTAAAGCAAGTAGTAACTGATGAAAAATTAGTAGTAATTTAGTAAAAATAGTAGTAACAGAGGTTAAATTAGTAATAAAGCAAGAAGTAACTGAAGAAAAATTAGTAGTAATTTATGTAAAGTATTAACTGAAGTAAAATTAGTAGTAACTCAAGTAGTAAATAAAGTAAAATTACTAGTAAATTAAGTAGTAGGTTACTATCTAATTTACTTAAATTTCTACTTAGTTTTAAAAAAGTTTCTAGTTTTAACATAACCTATATGTTACTACCTAAATATTTAAAAATAACTACTCAACGTTTACTTAAGTAAGTAACTAATTTTCTTAAGTCACTACTTAATTTAATCAAAGTTGTACTGAATTTAGATTAATAACTATTATTTTTAACTTTCTATTTTGTTAAAATTTCTCTCTATTTTTTTAAGTTACTATACCTAATTTACTAAAGTTACTACTTACTTTTTTAAAGTTACTTTCTAATTTGCTAAGGTTACTACCCAATTTTATGAAGTTACTCTCTAATTTGCTAAGGTTACTACCCAATTTTCTAAAGTTACTCTCGAATTTACTAAAGTTACTACTTACTTTTTTAAAGTTACTTTCTAATTTGCTAAGGTTACTACCCAATTTTCTAAAGTTACTCTCGAATTTTCTAAGGTTACTACCCAATTTTCTAAAGTTACTCTCTGATTTACTAAGGTTACTATCAAATTTAATTATAAAGTTTGTTAATTATGAACATTCTAGTAACAAAACCATTTTGAGGTAATATGTTGTACTGCCTACACGGGTTAATTATTAATTTTTAATTATTAATATAATTGATAGTAAATTTAAAAAAAAATTAATTGTAAAAATAAAGTAAATAAATAGTAAAATAATAATAAAAATAATATTACAATATTATGAAATTAGCATATAAGAAATAAGTAGAAATAAACATTCTCCCAAGTGAATAATTCAATCACTTTGCAAAAAGTTTTCAACTCGCATATTAACGCGAGACGAATTTTTCAGTGACAATCAATTAGTATTTTCATTGCTTCAAACTGACATTAGTATTCTTTCATGCTGACAAGTTCCCAGCACCAGGATTTTACTATAAGTGTACGGTAAAACAATATAATATGTACCATACGTTCTTAAAGCATAACCATTCATCAAGTGTAGCAGACAAATTGCATTATTATTTGCGCAAATCAATTTTCCTTTAAAAATTAATACTCTATAATTTTAATTGTTTTTGCATGAAAGAAAAGTCGTTTTTTAAAAGAAGAAAAATCTAAAATTAAATTATTTTTGGTTAAATTCCTAAATTTTTAAGAACAATTGCATAAAAGATGCAATAAATTTTTAAAAATAAAAAATAAATAAAAATAAGCAAATTAGCCCCTTACCCTATTAATATTAATATATAATAGAATTAATAGTTATATTCGAAGCAAACGAATTATAGGCTATGTTAGTGTTAAATTTATTTTCATTGATTCATTCATTCAAAATTATGAACATAACCTAAAATTTGGGGCTTCTTAGGTACCTTTCCTAAAAGTGCGTCACATATAGTAAATCAAGTAGTAATTGAAGTAAAATTAGTAGTAACTTATAGTAACTTATAATTAATATATAAGAAATAAGTAGAAAAAAAATAATATATGTATACGTTTATAAAATTCTGAAAAATGTGAAAAAAGTTACGCACACATGATCCGGGTCGCAGAGTCCCGGTCCCGTTTTACGGACACACCTTAATCTGCTACAAGTAAATGACTGTGCCTTAAGTATTACTTTAATAGAGAGTGCCTTCTTATAGCTTGAGAAAAATTATAAGCTTCCAACTCACTGAATTTCTTAACTATGAGAAAGAAGCGAAATAGTAGTCTTCGTAAAGTTCGTTCTTTCTACGAAAAAAAATTCTATTAAAATATTTCTATTTTAAAAAAAATTTCTTTGTTGCACTTTAAATAGTTTTTGACACTATAATTTCTGCCCCTTAAATTTTTCTTCTTTTTTTGCTAACTCGATTTTTAATTAACTTTAAATTCTTTTTAATTCTAAATTTTTACTTTACTAACTTCCGTCCCTTAAATTTTTCTTTCTTTTTTCTAACTCAATTTTAATTTACGTGATTTAATATACATCCTTTAATTCTAAACTTAAATTTAAGAATTGACTTTGAAGGAAGGAAAAGAAAAATTTAGTGTTAATATTTTAGATAAAAATTGAATTTTAAAAATTTTAAATTAAAGTTAATTTTTAAGTTTGAAAATACATGAAAAAAAAAGATTAAATTCCCTTTTTTTTTGTTTGATTGCAGCAAGAAGCAGGACACGAGGGATCAGTGGGGATTCAACCATGTGCGGGATGCGGTTGCCGAATTGTCGATAGGCACGTTTATTACGCACTGGATCGCTATTGGCATAATAATTGTCTAAAATGTACAGCGTGCGGATCATTATTAGCCGACATTGGACCTAGCTGTTACGCTAAAAATCAAATGATCCTCTGCAAAAGCGACTACAGAAGGTAATTATTCAAATTTTCAATTTTTTAATCTTTTAGTTTTAAAACATAAAATTAAAATATTGGTCAAAATTTACAAAAATTTGTACTCAGAGTTTCTTAGTGTCGTTGCTTACGAATCGGGGGTTAAATTTTCAAACTAAAAAATATCGGATTCAATAAGGTTGGAAAAGAAATCAAAAATAAATTTTTTATCAAGAAAAAGTGAAGGAAAATTTTCAAAAATTGTTACTTGGGATTTTTTGGTTGCCCTGAATCTCTCTCTTTCTCCTGTTGACATATTTTACCCATTATTATCACAATTATGAGAAAAAGAACAAAAATACAAAATTGCAATTTGCAAAATACCAAATTACCAAAAAAGTACATTTTACTTAAGTTACACATTTTGAAAAGCCGCACGTCGATCTATTCCGAGAGGGCGGTCTAACTAAGTTCAGCGTCTGTTTCTCATTAAATTGCGCTCTGACCTCGAATCCTCTAAATTTGGAACGGTCTCCGTCCGATTAGGTACCTACCTACTTTACACAGCGGTTCGACACACAAGAAGACTTTGACCTCGGAAATTAGACATTCGAAATTATTAGTCGTTTCCAAGAAGAAAAAAAAGCGTTCCTTTTTATTCCCTTTTTATATATTTGATTTATTTCGTGTAATTTTTTTTCATCATTTATGGAAAAATACTTTTTAAAGAATGAATTTTTTTGTTTTTAATTGTATGCGGAAATCAAACTATTTTAGAGTAAATTGTTTTAGTCACTTATCGTTTTTTTTCTTGGTTTTCGATTTTTCTGTATTCGTATTTTTTTCGTGAAAAATTTTGCAGAAAAAAATGAAGTGGTTTCTTTTTTGTCCGAGGGAGTAAAGTGGTCTTTTTCCTACCTAGGGAGCAAGTGAATTTCTTTTGAGGAAATGAAGTTGATTTTTTCATCTAGGGAGCAAAGGAGTCTATTCTCAGCTTAGGGAGTAAAATTTATCGACATAAATGTCACCCACTCTAAAAAGTCGACAATTTTTGTCGACTTTTTAAAGTAGGGCCCGAAAGCGCATTTTTTAAATTTGAAATTTTTAAGCGTATCCTTTGAAAATTGATGTAAACTAACGGCCTGAGATAGGATCAATTGTGAACGGTTGGAAAAAATAATGCAGAAGTCTTTTATTGACATTTATCGATTTTTTGGAGCGGGGCCCGAAGGCGAATTTTTTAAATTTGGAATTTTTAAGCGTATCCTCTGCAAATTCATGTCAAATAACAGCCTGAAATAGAATCATTTGTGAACGGTTGGAAAAAATAATGCAGAAATGTTTTATCGACATTTATCGCATTTTTAGAGCGGGGCCCGAAGGCGCATTTTTAAAATTTGGAATTTTTAAACGAATCCTTTGGAAATTCTTGTAAAATAACCGCCAGATATAGAATCATTTGTGAACGGTTGGAAAAAGTAATGCAGAAATCTTTTATCGACATTTATCGACTTTTTGGAGCGTGGCCCGAAGGCGAATTTTTTAAATTTAGAATTTTTAAGCGTATCCTTTGAAAATTGATGTAAAATAACAGCCTGAGATAGAATCATTTGTGAACGGTTGGAAAAACTAATACAGAAATCTTTTATCGGCATTTATCAACTTACCGACGTGCGCAAGCATCTGTAATTTTAATTACTCAAAACAAATCGAATTTGCTTGAAACTAGTCACTCGGGGGTTTTTGTGGTCGCTGATTACGAATCCAGTGTTATTTTTTCAAAATTCAAAATGGCGGATCCAATATGGCGGATGTAAAAATTGAAAATTGATCGGATTCACTTCAAAGTTGTTACTCGGAGGTTTTTGGGGTCGCTGATTACGAATCCAGTGTTATTTTTTCAAAATTCAAAATGGCGGACGAGAAAATTAAAAAATTGATTAGATTTGCTTCAGATTTGTTATTTGGGGGTTAGTGGTTAATAGTCGCTAAACTTTATTAAAAATTAATATTTTAAATTTACCATAAGAACCAAAAAACTACACAATTTAATTTTTTCCCAATTTTGCAACTACTTGTTAGGGGGGCGGAAAAAGAAAAGAGAGAGAGAGAGAGTTTTCTTTTCGAAACTAAAATTGTGCAATTTTAATGGTGTGGGTTGAATGTATGTCGGGAGGGATGTTCGTTTCTTTTGGATTCAAGGAATGTTTCAATCAGTTTGATTGAAGGGCTGAGCCACGGCAAGAGGGTAAACTCGATTTACAGTCGTGTAGGGAGAGAGAGAGAGAGAGAGTAAGAGACGGTTTTTGAGGGGAAGAAGGAGAGAGTGGAAGTATATAGAAGATGTGGATGACTGTGGTGGACCGGGAGGTTTTGTGGTGTGTGTGTCTAGAGAGAGAGAGAGAGAGAGAGAGAGAGAGAAAGAGTGAGACAGGGTTGGGAAGCGGGGGTGCCACAATCACCGGGATGCGTCCAATCACTCTCCCACCTCTCGTCAAGCAGCTTACGTTTCGACTGCACGAGAGATATTCCGTCAGCGGGAAAAGGTTTTTGAGGCGCGAGAGAAGAGAAAGCAAGGCGCGCAAGCCAATCATCGCGTCGCATTCCGTTGGAACACGTCGAGATACGGGACAACGACAACCGAGTCTCTCTCGCGCGCTCCTGCTTTGCCCTAGATGTGCAATCAGACCACCGCATCTCTCTCACTCACTCTCCCCCCCCCCCTCCTTCATCCCTCTTCCTACTTCTGGACGAATACCAAATTCTAGCAATTTGGTAGGTAGGTACTTTGTTGAATCAACATGATTGGGCTTGACGAAATCCACTAGTGTGCGTCTACATAGACTCTCTTCCCATCACTCACTATTTTCTCGTTTAACATTTCTTTATCTCTCTCTCTTTCTTTCTTATTGTTGTCACTATTATTATTTTTATTAATATTATTAGTGATCTAAACAGTAAAAAATAAATTTTAGCTTTGACCCGTTTTTGACTGAAACCGTTAACAAGAAGAATGTTTAGAAATGTCCCTGAAGTTAGCGTCGATGCTTAGCGTCAAAAACTGTACTTTAGGGTTAGCAAAGGTAAAAGTATCACTACTTTTGGAGTTAAGAAAATTATTACCAAACTTTTTCAACCTGAAACCTTCGATTCTTTTCGATTTCGAAAAAAATGGTTTTCGACGCTTAGCGTCGACGCTAAATTCGAAAATCTGTTTAGAACCGATTTGAACTGTAATATTTTTAAGATCTAAGCGATATTAGACTTTGTTTTTTTTAACTGAACATCGTTTATTGATGTTGTAATGGAAATATCATCTTTATTATTATTTAAAATCTCGTGAATACATTTAAAAAAAAAGAAAAAAAATCGCTTTTCAGCAAAGAGGAGGAAATTATTATTAAAATTGCTTTTACCTAGGTTTATCACAATTTAATTAATTATTAACGGTACCCCATAAATGAATAGGTATCATTGCATCGAGAGTTTACTTAAGTGAATGCAATATTTATATCTATAGAATGCTTTTATAAAGTTCTGCACAAACCGAAAGGCTAGGATGAAAAACCGGTTTTAGGAATACGACGACTGGTGTGTGTTTGTGTGTGTGTATGAGGAACATGTCAATTGCGCCAGAGATTGTTTATATATTGTTGACTGTATTTTCAATAAGGAACCAAGTAATTAATAATTATTTCGAAAAAATAAACAAAACAGTGTAGTGAAAAGTAAACAAACAAAATAGTCAAAATTAAATAAAGAAAACAGTAAAAAGTAAACAAACAAACAATTAAAAAATAAATAATCGAAATAGTAAAAAGTAAACAAACAAAATGGAGAAAAGTAAACAAAGAAAATAGTAGAAGATAAACAAAACAAAATAGTGAAAAGTAAACAATCGAAATAGTAAAAAGTAAACAAACGAATTAGAGAAAAGTAAAAAAAGAAAATAGTAGAAGATAAACAAAACAAAATAGTAAAAAGTAAACAATCGAATTAGTAAAAAGTAAACAAACGAATTAGAGAAAAGTAAAAAAAGAAAATAGTAGAAGATAAACAAAACAAAATAGTAAAAAGTAAACAATCGAATTAGTAAAAAGTAAACAAACGAATTAGAGAAAAGTAAAAAAAGAAAATAGTAGAAGATAAACAAAACAAAATAGTAAAAAGTAAACAATCGAATTAGTAAAAAGTAAACAAACGAATTAGAGAAAAGTAAACAAAGAAAATAGTAGAAGATAAAAAAAACAAAATAGTAAAAAGTAAACAAACAAAAGAGTAAATATACAAAAAGAATAAGAAAATGTAAACAAACAAAACATTAAAAAAATTAAATAAACAAACAAAATTGTCAGAAATATAGAAATGAAAAGGTAAAAAATAAACAAACAAAAAAGTAAATAAACAAAAGAGAAAAAAATAAACAAACAGAAGAGTAAATAAACGAACTAAAAAGTAAAAAATAAACAAATATAAAAAGAGGTAATAACAACAATAAACAAGGTAGAAAAAAAATTTAAAAAAACCATAACTCTACCTTCAGTTGCGTCTATTGGATAATTTTTCTATTTATAAAGATTTGTCTCAATTATTAATTATTATTAATTAAATCAGAAACCACACAATGTTTGAAATGAAACCAAATGAAAAAAACGATATTACTCCCAATGAGAATTGAATTTATGACTCTATTGGCTAGATGAATTATTTTTTTCCTGCGTACAAAATCCATTAATCAATGCTTCACAGGCGGCTAATGAATTCCAGAATTCTAGACAAGAAATAAATTAGAAATCAGTTTAGAAACTGAAATGGAGTTAATGATCTCTTCTTACGGTAGTCTTCTAAGTGTCTATTTCAAATTTTTTTTTTCCTAATCACTAAATTGGTGTGTATTTGAATTTAATTAATGTTTCAAAAATAATTCCCAATCATGGTGTATATATGCGTATTTAAATTTATTTCCCAAATTCCAGACGAATTTACAATTTTTCCTCAAATTATTTTCATAAATAATAAAACTCATTGAAGAATTTCAA